ACAATATACCTTTCAAGGTTTTGGAAGGGGCAAGTGAAAAAAATGTGTACTAGAGTCCTTTGTAAACTAAAAATAGGTTATTTTTAGAGATACAAACTTTTGCAGTTGCCCAAAAGCTCTGTTGCCCAGATAGATTAACCTCTGTTATCCAATCATGCCTTCATCATTGTCTCTCCATAGCATATGGATAAAGGTATTTTCTCAAACCTGATTAGAAGGACCAACCTTCACAGATTTTTTGAAGTGCTTAAAGCTTGAGTTTGGAGTTACCTGTTGTGGGATACGCTTCTTACTGGGCCTGTCCTTATAAACAATTTCCATCATATGTCTTATTTTTCCCTCAACTGTTGCTTGATGTGTCTCAGGTAGATTCCCCACTGAGCATAGAGATTGATGTGGGGCTTGATCTCAGGAACCTGAGATCATGACTTGAACCAAAACCAATAGTCAGATACTTAACTGATTGAGTCACCCAGGTACCCCTCAGCAGACATTCTTGATCAGCAGTAAACAAAACAGACAAAAATCCCTACCTTTGGAGAGTATATATTCTAGTACATGAATGAAGATACAACTGAAACTGGGACCTTGAAAAGTAGTAGCATTTAAACAGATAAAAGGAAAAGGGTTCTAGGTAGAAATGATATGAGGCAAGTTTGCAAGCTAATATGCATTTGAAAAGTACCAGGAACAATATTGGCAATCCCAGAAGTTCCATGGAGGAGACTATAGAAAAGTCTTAAGAATTTTAGAATTTTTCCACCATCAGCAAAAAAGGTACTGATGGTTTTTACCCAAAGATTCAAGTGGTTGAGGACTGTTTTTTAAAAATGGGAAAGAATGCTTTGCAAAAGAATTCAGTGTAAAGGAAAGATTACCATGATCTGATCACTGGGTCTCAGGATCAGGGATTAGGAAACATTCATCTTCAAATTTTATTTAATGGTCATTTCTATTTCATTAAATTAACATTTTTGTATAATTCTCCCAAAAGAAGATTTTGCTCTAGTTAGATATCATAGTCTAACAAAATCAAATTTCATATCAAAGCTACTTATGTGTAAGTGCTTTTATGTTATAACAGTTCCTCCTCATAAACAGCCAGGAGGCAAGCTTACAATGGCTTTCTCTTAACTGATTAGGATATCTGTTTTCCAAAAGCAATGTAGCTTGCCTGGAATCAGCAAAAAGATGAATGGAAAACAGCAAGTAGTAGAGTATTCCCTTTGATTTGGCCTGCAATGTCATAGGCTTATTGTATGTGACATCCCCCTGTCTGATAACCCATCACCCGATCCGTTATTAGATCAGGTGGGGGACCCAAACCAGGGCAGAAGCATGTGCAGTCCTGCCTCTAAGATTTCAGTGTTACATAAAATAGTGGCTCAGACAGTACCCGTTTTGCCCAGGAACCTCCGAGATCCACACTGCAAACACAGGACCTCAGTGAGCAGCATCTGTAGGTCATCCTTTAGTTCTAAACATCCAGGTTGCAAGTGGTTTTCTTTTGCCTGTGGCTGGTGCCAAGGACCCCTGCAAAGAAATCCTTGGCAGATTGCTGGATGCTCTAATGTTGAGTTTGGTCACGAAAGTGATAGTAACCATGAGAAGGCAAGGCATCCTCTGAGGGAGAAGAAGAGCACATGGCCAAGGAACAGGTCTCTGTGCAAAGATTCCACCCAAGCAGTTCTAGGCAACCCCAGGATCTCTGTGACTTTAGCCCAGGGCTCCCTCACTATCACGGTAACTATTCACTCAGGAAGGAATGGAAGAGGCTCTTGCTCTTGCCTTACTTTCTGCAGAGGTTCCTGGTGGGAAACCTTTTGACGACTTCTAAGTGCTCCTCAACAGTGGTCAACAGTGGGAAGGTAGTGCCCTCCCATCCCCAAACTCTGGGCATTGGCCAAATGTTGGCCAATGTCCTGCTCCCTTCAGACCTGAGGACAATACCTCTTGAGCTGCCTTAATTTTGACTTGTCCCCTGAAGGAAGTCTTATGTCTGCACATCTGAGGTAACACCCAGAGAAGGATAAAGGGAGATATGAAAATGAATCCAAACAACAAAAGAGAAAGAGAAAGAAAACCTAAGCTGTAAGATCGAGTAGTTCAAAAGTGCTCCAAGGAAATGCAAAGAGAAATCACTTAGTTTGGGCCTTAAGCGGATGGAGGAAAGATTCTCAGAGGTTACAAGAAAACAGACTACTTGACAAACAACCGGGAGAATTCTGGAAAGAACTGAACCGTGGTTTCCATACTCAAAGAAGAGTGGCCAAAAAGACGCAAATGGCCACTTCTTCCCAAGGCTGGATTCCGATATTACACTTTCCAGTGATTTTGGCAATTACTGTTAATTAGCTCACTCTCTCCAGCTTAATTTTCTGTGCAAATGTAACTAACATTTGACCTTTAGCCACACTTTGCCATTGCACCCTGTTTTTCCAAAGCACATGAGGCTATGTGCTTGATTCCATTTTTCCCTGCTATGGGTTGAGTTAATTCACTGATTTTACTAATCGAACTGGGTGCAGTTAAAACAGATCTTATTTTATGTACTTCCTTTGTAAAAACTGAGACAAAACAAACAAACAAACCCCCTTAGGAGAAAGGGGAACTTGAGTAGCAGGAAGCAAAATATTCCCGTGATGTTTCTCCCCTTTTCTTTTTAAACCAACCCATTCACAGAAAACCCTTTGCGTGTACTGTGAACACCCTGAGTCTTTCAATAGCTTTGATCCTTAGGTCACACACATGCAATTAAGCTTCTAGATAGGCCCCCATATATTCCACTCCGGGAGATTGGGGTTGGCCTGCCAGGAGAGCCAAAACCTCCAGGAGCCAATGTCACATCCAAATTACATCCCGGTTAATGGAGCTGGTCACCTCCTAGGTCAAATACCTAAGAACCAAGAAGACATGCTCCATTTTGTGTCCATGTGAAGGAGCAGATGCACTTGGGAGCAGAGAAGTGGTGTGCAGAAGGGAGGAGAGCTGAACACATCCGATTACACTCAGGGATCAATTAACTCATTTAAGGAGAGACTATCCTGGCATCCCCAGCCCCCAGATTGCCTTAAAAAAGTGTGTGTGTGTGTGTGTTGTGTGTGTGTGTTCTAAGGCTCAGAATAGTAAATGCAGCCTTGAGTATCAGGATTTAAAAGAATGAAAGATAAAAGGAAAACAGCTTTGGAGAGGAGGCAACCCGTGGTGGGCAGGAGAAAACCGCAGGCTGTTCTGAGCGCAGCTCTCTGCTTCTTAACCTAGACCACAAATTGTCTGAGCCTGTGATCAGCCTGCCCACCCCCACCCCCACCCCCACCCCCGCCCCCCAGGGGAAGGGCTTCCACCCCTGCCCAGCCCTGCCCAGCCAAGGTCGGCTGGGAGGAGTGTTTAGGAAAAAGAGCAGGAGTTCTAACTTCACTTCTCTCTGCCCTGAGTGAAAACCCAACTCTGCTCTGTTCAAGTACACAAGGGTTAAAAGGGAAAAAAAAAATGAGTGTGTGTGTTTTGGATGCAGCTGGAAGCCATTAACAACTCTGAGACCATCTCCTAACCCAGTCAGAGGGTGGGTGGGCTGGCAGAGAGCCTGGATCCCTGTGTGCAATCACGGACGCTTAGCCCTGGGCGGGGCTTGATTCCTACCTCCCGCCCAATGCAGAAATCCCCTCTCCAACTGCTCAGTCCCTGCTTGCGCACTTCCCCGCTCACGCACTGCTTCATGAGGCAGCCTGTTCCTTTGGGGACAACTTCAGTCACTAGAAAGTTCTTTGCAAAATTTGCCTCCGTAAGAAAGTCTCCCCTTTAGTTCTAGCTTGGCCCCCTGGTGTCATTGGCACATAGCAGTCCTACTTGTCAAGGCAGTGACCACTTGACTCCTCCAAATACCTCCTTGTGGCCACACAACCTGGTGGGCTGGCCAGTCCTCACATCTGATGGGTTCTGGACTCCTCCTGAGCTTGCTCAGTCTCTGAACTAGGCTCCCATTTCAGAGTCCCCTGTGAAGAACAGGGCCTGAACGGAATATATTCCCAGCTACAGGGGCACCAGTACAGCATCATCTAGGAGGCCTTTACTTTCAGGAGTTTTGAGGGCAAGTTTTTCAGGAACGATGCAGCTATGCCCCCTTTTGGGTCCTGCCACTAGAGAATCCATGCCACCTCATTCCTAGGCAGGTTTTCAGCTCTAGAAGACTTGCCTGATGGATGGTTCTAGACTGGCAATGGCTGTAACAAAGCCAGAAAGGAGAGACGAAAGAATGAACTTCCCCTGGATGCTCCTTGGGAGAGTTCCTAGCTTTCCACCAAGTGTTGAGGCAAATGAGTAAAGATCACTCTCATCTTAACCCAGGATCTAGGACCTGTTATCTAGGACCATGATCAAAGATCTCTTTCATTATCTGTCTCCCCTGCCCAGAAACCTTCCATTTGTGCCCCACCTCCTGAATGGAACACAAGCACTGAAGCCTCCCTTGCCTGGCCTAGCCCTGCTAATCCTCGTTCTCCTACCCAGCTCTAGCATAGGGCCTCCGCACCAGCAGGCCAACCTCGTCCTGGCCACCTGGCCCTGGGCCCATGGTCCCTCATTTACTCTTCCTGAAATACTTTCCCTTTGTCCTGTAAGCCTGTCTAAGAGGTCTCTTCCTGGACTAGCCCCAGAGCATCTGAAAAACCAGTGTTCTCCAGCCATGGGCTTAAGGTGACATTTCTGACCCCTCGAGGCAGTCTTTTCCCAGACCTCTCCTCTTCAATTGTCTGGAGAAGCACAAGATTCCAACTCTGTTTTTGTTCTCAGCAGGTTAAATGCAATGGATGGTGACTGTTGTTCTTTTAGTCTGAGGAATGTCCTAATTATATCTTTGCTTTCATTATATGGAAAGGACTCAGGGTCAGCCCAGGCTCTGGCTTTTGGAGATTAAGTAAATGAGCAGTTATGACCTAACAGAGTCACCCCCATATAAAGCTGATACCACTAGGTGTAATTTTGACCTCATTTTGCTTTCCCAGATGTGCCTCAGATCAACTGTGATGTCAAAGCTGGAAAGATAATCAATCCTGAGTTCGTTGTAAAATGTCCAGCAGGATGCCAAGACCCCAAATACCATGTTTATGGCACAGACATCTATGCGTCCTACTCCAGTGTGTGTGGTGCTGCGATTCACAGGTGAGTAACTCCAAGCAGTCAGGCTGTGGGCAGAGAGTTCCCAGTGCAGGGTTGCCTGATTTAGCAAGCAAAACGGTACAAATGTAACTGAGTATCCTGTACCACCTATGGCTTATGGCAACCGTATCCCAAGGGATTACGCAGAAGCCATGCGTGGTCCTGGATCTCCTTTCACAGCGCTCTGTGGAAAGCAACGACTTCCCTTTACACCAAGGAGGAGAATTCTTACTCTCTCATGTTCATGACAAGGAAACCAAAGTTCTCGGTGACATAAAGCACATTTTTTCTACCTGTGTGTGCTGAGTAAGGAAATAATAGGGATGTGACTAAGGATGGCCTGGAAGTCAGGAGAAGAAATGTCACAGCTGCGGTGAATGGCCGGGAGACAAGTAGAACAGGAAACATGAGGAGGAGGGTGACAGGTGGTACTGCTTAGTCAGCTGTTGGTTTAGGATCCAGGGAGGAGGACAGGAAGCAGGACATGCTTCAAACTAAGTCGCTGCCTAAATGAGGAGAGCCAGAAGTGACCTTCACAGAATTCAAAGGCCTCTTCTGCTCAGGCTGGGAGTCTAAACACAGGGGAGGGCCTGTTTACTTTAAATCTTTGACAACAAGGCTCATGTGTCTGTGTCGTGCACCTCATTTATATCACCTTATGTAATCTTCGAGGTTCCCTGTGTAGTAGCTGCTACTTGTAGCCACATCCTAAAGAGGGAGAGGCTGACTAGCTTTTCTAACACTGCACTAGTAAAAAAAAAAAAAAAAAAAAAAAAAACTCAAGTGAGGTCTCGAACCTCAGTCCAGCACCCACACTCCTAACCACCACTTTGAGACGTGACTGCCAAATCAATGCTCAGCCACTGGATACTGGGAAAAGTTACTTCAGTCTTGGACTTCAGTATCTTTTTCCTTCTATTGTGTACCGGCCAGGTGATGGATCTGCTATAGCCCTGCCAGAGAGAGGGGGAAAGACAGAAAATTTACTCCTTCTGGAGGTCTCGTCAATAGCTTCTCAGAAATTTGGGGGGGCAGCAAGAATGAAGTCTACATGTAAAATAAAATTTAAGAATTACTAGCAGCAAAAAACAAAAAACAACAACAAAAAAAGAATTACTAGCAGCGTCTGTGGGTCATCCTCATCTTACCACTGCCGCAGGGGGATGATGAGCTGACTGATTCTTGAGTGAGAGCAGAACTCTGAAGGCTCCATTACAGAGAAGTAGGGAACCGTTCAAGAGAAACTATACCAAACACTGTTTCTTTTTTTTAAAGATTTTATTTATTGATTCATGAGACAGACAGAGAGAGAGAGAGAGAGGCAGAGACACAGGCAGAGGGAGAAGGAGGCTCCCTGAGGGGAGCCCGATGCAGGACTCAATCCCAGGACCCCGGGATCATGACCTGAGCCAAAGGATCAACCACTGAGCCACCCAGGTGCCCCTCAAACACTGTTTCTTAACTCCAGACTATGGAAAAAATATCTTGCTTTCAGTCTGAAAGAAATTTCAGGCAAAAAAGGAGAGGTACACAAGTCTACACACACACGCACACACACATGTGTGTGAGTACACATGAGCATGCTTACACAAATGCATGCTCACACGCATCCTTATACACACATGGGCTTGCCCAAACAGCTCCCGCACCAGGAACACTCTCTAATCCATGTCTATGCAGACACTGATGTCTGCTGGCAGGCCTGGGCCTGTCTTAAGGCCGCCTCTGTTTTTCCAGCAGGGATCCAGAATGGTTGGCACTTGCTTCCTCTGGCCCTTGCCGGCTCTGTCTCACCTTTTGATGTCTCCCACGCAGGACAGAGTCGCATGAGTTAATTCAACCTCACAGAGATGTCATCATAATCACAGTAATCCCTTGCACTACAATTTTCTCTCCTTCTAGCATCATCTCAGCCCCACGAGGCTGCTGTTAACATCCCCATTTGTTAGAAGAGGAGCTGAGAAATAGGGAAGTTAATTAAATTGCTAGTAAGTTGCACATTTGGGATTAGAGCTCATGTCCCCTGACTTCCAGTCAAGAGCTGGAGTGACACATTTATGTAAGGATGGAGTGGGGGGGGGGTGGTCCCAGCACAGCTTAATACACAAAGTGAGGACAGGAGCTGGATGTAGACATTGGACCAGTAAGAGCTGGGAATGGCTTTATGATGGATGGACACACCCCTGGGGACAGAGTAAGAAGGGCCGTTGAAAAGGACCAGAACCCAACAATCCCAGTGTTTGGGTTGGAGTGTAGGAATCTGTGGAGAGAATATGGAGGAGGGGAGGTGGCTGGAGGAGGAGAACTTGAATGTTTCAAAAAACAAGGTTTGCTGCTTGAGCAACCAAGTGCCCTAGTAGCTTCCTGGACCAGGGTCTGCTTTGGTGGGAAACTCTATTTGGAAAGAAGCATCACTGTCCATGGGGAAGATGAATAGAGGTCTTAAGGCAGAACAGACAGGAATTTTGGATGCTCTCAGTTTTGTTCTTCACAAACAGAACAAGTCTCTTTTCAGAAGGCAGAATTTAAGGCAGAGAAGATGAGTAGAAAATGCACATGGGGCCTCCATTATTGGCCTCTCAGAGTGCCCCACGGTCAGGATGGGGAGACTGAATAGAGCGTACTTTGGTTTAGACATTCAGATTTAGTTTTAGGATTTAATATTCATATAATATATCATAATCAGATGTCTTATTATGAGTGATTCCCTTGATTCTTTCAAACCAAAGGAATGATGAACATATTGGAGGCATCGTGTTTTGGCTCCATCTTGTCCTGAATTAACCTCTGCATTTAGAGTGGGACTAATTGCTGGGGAGAGGGAAGGTTTCTCCCCAATGGGGCAACAAGGAGGCCTCCCCATGCAGAGCACTCTTCATGCTGATTTCTGACTAGATGCTCATCCCAAATGGCAACTGTCCCAAACCAAGCCTTTTCCTCCAAACCATGCAGTTGACCCTCAGCTTAGCCCAATGCCCTGGTCCCAGAGTGGGGAAGGTACGTCTGGAATCACACAGGGTATCTGAGGAATGTAAGGAAGTGGAACTGGTTTTGCTCTTTCAGAGAATATATACAATGTGCCTATCTCTGGTTGAATACAGAAAGGAGATCACATTTACATAAATTTTCCAAAGTATCATGGCTCCTGTCTGCTTCATAAGTGAAACCACCACCTCTTGCAGGATCTTTCTCTTCTCCAGTGTTTCCTACAATGGTCGAGTCTCTGGTACATTCCATCTTCATGGACTGCTGTTAGCCATTCCCATTCCCATGGACCACTGACCTCCCCGGCATCTACCCTCCTCTAGAATATCTGAGAAGATCCACATCCTCCACTCAAGTCCACCCTCAAGATGAGGCATCCCTCTTGTCTGCGACAGGGCAATCTCATGAGCACACCAGAGTTCTGCACTGTACCTTCCCCAAAGTCTGGGTTTTCGGTTTTACAACACCTTCACAAGGGGCATCAGCAGCCCTGTCCAGCTTGAGGGTCCTTCCCATTTCCTTGAACAGCCAGTGGGAAGCTCAACACAGGGCCTCCCTTCCCTCAGTCCACGTGGTAGCAAATGTGCTTCTGATCTTACAGGAACAAGTGCACACACACACATTTCCTCAATACAACTGACTTTAAAACCAAGGGCAGAATAATTTCTCAGGAGGGAAAGAAAAAAGATGCTACTTCTATCTTCCCCCATTAATTCTAAGTAAAGGGAGCATGGATAATTTTTTTAAAATAATTAGAATTTTCAGCCTACATGAGTGCCGTGCTTATAAATGTTGAACTACCAGCTCCCGGAAAGCAAGGGAAGTGCTCATTTACCAACTTCAGTGGTATAAATACTCCCACCATGGCTGATTTCAAGCTACAGTGTGAAATGAACCAACTCTCACAATCCTGAAATGTCAACAATTGGTTCTCATAAACCAGTGTGGGCAGCATCCATGCACCACTGACAGGCCTTCCAATGCAGAAGCATAATATACTGTCTTTTCCATAAGAGCATTTCTAATCCAGTTGGGAGACAAAATCAACTCAAGCAAACTTTAGGAAATAGCACAAGACTAAGTAAAATCAGAGTCTTGGTTGAGAGACAAGATTCTAAAGCCTCATTGGGAAGGGATGTAACGGTCTTTTCAGAATCTCTGTGGAGAAGAAAGTGTTGGGTGCTGATGGGCCCAGGCCTCATCAAGCAGAAGTGGGAGTTGGTTTTCTAGAGTGAAAGAGCAGTGTGAACAGACACATGAGTGGAACCAGGTACTCTGTTGGGGAGCAGAGACCAGCCTGGCTGCAGCTGGGAGACATGAGGTGACTGCTTCTGAGCTCCCAAAAGAAGAGAAGGCAGGGTTGAAAAGATTTGGAAAGACGAGGAGTTGGCATCAGGAGGTGCTTATGCTTTTGGACTCTGAGAGGCAACTGTGACCAAATGGAATAAACCCAGGATTCCAAGGTCAGCTAGACCTTGGTTTGCATCCCTGCCTTGCAATTTTCTAGTTACAAAATCTGGGCTGAGTCACTCCACCGGTCCAAGCCCAATTCTGTGAAATGGGAGCAATTGCATTGCCTCCGCTCTGCAACTCACAGGTCTGCCAGCAGCACCCAGTGAGAAACCTTACATGGGCATGACTTGAAAGCAATTAAGTGTTCTACACGTCAAGTACTATTAGCACTTTCTTTCCTTCTGGGTCATTGAGCAGTTGAGCGTTGAAAATTCTTGACTCATGGGGGTGGGAGGGCAGGAAACGGCAACGCTCTCATTCCTGGAGGGAAGGGAGGGTGTTAATGAGAACAAACCTCAGCGCATTTTTAGCTCCCTCTGTGCCATAAATCACGGATACCCATGGGAGCCATTTTAGGTTTTGGGGCGAGGAAATGACAATGTGAAGTGATGCTCAGGAACCAGAAGGAAGGCCCTGCTTCATAGGACAAGGCAAACACATAGATAGGTCAGTCGCTGTCATCTCGGGATTTAAAACCTTCAAAATCCTAGAAATTAAAGAAACAATTGCTAGTCCTTGGGAAATCTTTTTTAATGAGTTCGGTTTCTCTACACACCTTCCTTCCCCGGCCCAGAATGGAAGGAGTAATTTGCTTGGTAAAATGTCATGGCCGCCTTTCGAAATAACCGGAGTCATTCTGCGAGGTCACGAAACCACACTAGAAATTGTCAGGAAAGAAGTTTTACTTAAAAAGAACTAGTGGGAATGAGGAAACCAAGGAAAAGAAATTTGAGGCGTGGTGACCAAGAGAAATTGCTGCCTGACAGAACCACCAGGTCCCTGAGATAAGAAAGAGGATGTCTGACCTGGAGGTCAGATGCTGGGCCATGTGATGGAGGAGCCATTCTTGGGGGGTACAAGTAGGGGGCTGCAAATTAAGGCAAACCTTTTCTTAATCTCAAAGCTTTCGTATCTTTATTTTTCTTTTTAAGATTTATTTATTTGGGCAGCCCGGATGTCTCAGCGGTTTAGCGCTGCCTTCAGTCCAGGGTATGATCCTGGAGACCAGGGATCGAGTCCCACATCAGGCTCCCTGCATGGAGCCTGCTTCTGTCTCTGCCTGTGTCTCTGCCTCTTTCTCTCTCTCCCTCTCAAATAAATAAATAAATAAATAAATAAATAAATAAATAAAATCTTAAAAATATTTTAAGAAATAAATGAAATGCAACAAAAATAAATAAGGCTTTTTAAAAAAGAGTGATTTATTTATTCAGGAGAGACACAGAGAGATAGAAGCAGAGACATGAGCAGAGGGAGAAGCAGGCTTCCCACAGGAAGCCCGATGCAGTGCTCAATCCCAGATCCCAGGTGCCAGGATCATGCCCTGAGCCAAAGGCAGACGCTCAACTGCTGAGCCACCCAGGCGTCCCCACCTTCGTATCTTAAAATAAAGATAGATGCTGGTTGGATAATCTGCTGATTGTGTCAAATGATGTTTTCCAGTTCTTCATATTTTTGTTTCTCCCCACAGTGGTGTGCTTGATAATTCAGGAGGGAAAATACTTGTTCGGAAAGTTGCTGGACAATCTGGCTATAAAGGGAGTTATTCCAATGGCATCCAGTCGCTGTCCCTGCCACGCTGGAGAGAGTCCTTCATCGTCTCAGGTATGCCCACGCTCTGGGAAGCGCTGCCATGCCTGGGCGCTTGGCTTAAGTGACCTCGCGGGATGAAATGTGCTCTACATTCTGTTGGTTTTAGTTTATGGCTCAGCTCATTTCATAAAAAATCTGAAGCATTAGCTCTTCTGATAATTAAGATCATGAAATAATAAATTATAATTACCGTGATAAATCACTACAAAGTCGGGAAATATTAAAAGGCTCCAATTGCTCATTTGAAACACACTGAAGCTATCTGTAATCCAAACTTTTAATGAAGTGAATTATATTTCATAACTTGGGTTTTTTTAACTACTCCTTTGGTTAGGCCAAATATGTCTCATATCTCGATCCTCATTCCTTAATATTTCTGATAAATGGATAGGGATATAGGCTCTTAGAGAACCAAGCTACAATTTTGAGATTTCTTTTTATTTCATTCATTGTATCGCTAGTCAGTTCCTGCTATCTAGCTCCTTAGGATTTTTGCAGATAATCATTTTTACTCTTTTTGTCCCTCTTCTGATGAAGTAATATCAGCGAGGTAATGACCACTGTGCTTTCACAGCAAAAAGGTGACTGAGTATCTCTGGATTATCATGACCTGCCCTTGCCCATTTTTGTGAAATTACCCAACCTAGCTTTTTATTTTGAAATGTTTTTAGTTGAAAGAAATATGGAAAGAATACTACAATGAATACCCATATTCCCTTCACCTAGGAACATTTGCTTTATCTATCTACTTATCATTTATTTTATTTTGTTCTAATCCATGTGAAAATAAGCTGAAGGCATTATGACACTTTATTCCTCAATACTTCAGGACACATCTGGTAAAAACAAGAACATTTTCTTAAATACCACGATACCAGTACCAAACCTAAAAAATTAACATTGATATAATATTATCTAACAAATAGTTATCCAATTATATACAGTTATCCTAAAATAGTCTTCATAGTAAATTCTTCCTCCTCCTCCTCTCTCCTTCCCTCCCCTCTTTGTTTCTTTGTTTCTTTCTTTTGGATCCATGATCTAATAAAAATCATCTGTTACATTTAGTTATCACATTTATTTACTCTCTTTTAATCTAGAACTAGCTACCACCACACTACCTTTTTTGGTCATGAATGACAATGGCGTTTTAGAAATCCTAGCCAGTTGTCTAGTCTATGTCTCCCAATCTGGACCACAAACATGTCCAATTATTTCCTCATGATTGGATCCAGGTTAAATATTTTGCCAAGTTTACTACGCAGGTAGTATCATAGTATATGCATTGTGCGTATCACATTGGCCATCTCAGAAGGCACAATAATGTCAGTTTGTAGAACTGTTGTTGATGTTAAACTTAACTGCTTGGATACTTTATAACATCTCTTCATGGTAAAGATTGTTGTAATTAATAAGTAATCTGTAGGGTAATACTTCCAAACAGCATGAATAGCTCATTCCCCAACAAATTCACCCAGTGGTTTTAATTTCTGTTGATGATCCTTGCAGTAGCAAGAATTGCACTAGAAATTGAAAAAGCACAATTGTTCTAATTCTCTCATTCCCATTTATTAGCAAGTATTCTTATATAAAGAAAAGAGGTATTTCCTCCTCTCCACACCTATTTTTCAAGTACCAATATGGACCCATGGATGTTTTCGAAAATATGTTATAATTAATTATCATCATTATTCTTTTTGGCACTCAAATTTTCCATGTTTGGCCAGCGGGAGCCCTTCACGCTTTTCTGACATGTCCTCATTGGTATTTGAGCACAACACAGTGTTCTATCGTTGTCTTATACTTGCCTTGCTCTCGGCCTTGAATCTCCCATTTTCTTCAAAAAGGCTTCACATGACTTTAAACTATATTCTAACAGAGCTTCCTGGCATCCCAACAAGATTAGCAGCCATGCGACTCTCCTGAGCAACTACCAATGGAAGACCAATGAAGTGAGGAAGAGAGAAATGTTTTGTAATATAGTAGGCCTTCCAGTCTAGGTATTTTTCTGGTACCTTTCTGTATCCCATACCCCAACTCCTACTATCCTCCCAATTAGCAGAGTGTTAGTAGAACTACAAACAGACCTTTTAGGGTTTTTCACAACTTGAGCGATACCTGTTTCCTCTTGCCTGCCGAATTCTGCACAACCAGGGTTCAAATTAAACTGGTTTCTCTGTCAGATAGTGGAAAGTCATCAAACACAGTACTGTGAGTATTTAGATTAGGGGCCATATGAAAATGCTAATACCTAGAATACAAATTTGTCAAGTATAGAGAGAAATATAATCTATACATAGGTGTTTACCAAATAGCTCCTGGCTAAATAAGAGTGTTTTCATCTTAAGTGTATAGCCTACAATTTAAGAATCCCAACAGGGATGCCTGGATGGCTCAGTGGTTGAGCGTCTGCCTTTGGCCCAGGGTGTGATCCTGGAGTCCCGGGATCGAGTCCTACATCAGGCTCCTGCATGGAGCCTGCTTCTACCACTGCCTGTGTCTCTGCCTGCCTCTCTCTGTGTCTCTAATGAATGAGTGAATAAATAAATAAATAAATAAATAAATAAATAAATAAATAAAATCTTGAAAAAAAAAAAAAGAATCCCAACAGAGGTTTAAAAAAAAATTAACTCCAAGACAGTAGAGATGTTTTGGGTTTTGGTTATTTTTTTTAAAGATTTATTTATGAGAGAGAGAGAGATAGAGAGAGAGAGAGAGAGAGAGAGAGAGAGAGAGAGGCTTCCTTGCAGGGAGCCTGACATGGGACTTGATCCCTGGACTCCAGGATCATGCCCTGGGCTGAGGGCAGGTGCTAAATCGCTGAGCCACCCAGGGATCCCTGATGTTTTGGGTTTTGTAAATGAAAATCAATCTGCTGAGATTATTCCCTATGGATTTCAACCTGCATCTCCCCTCATTTCACCTAGTGACATTTAACTCAAACACTTTTTGCCAATTATAACAAACATGTGTGCTTCTGCAATGGCTAGGAGTCTCTTTCGGATGGGTAAATTGAGAGAGCACAGTGCCCATAAAGGTATTGACCAGCCAACAGCCAAGGCAGGCTCCCCACTATATGGAGGCTCAAGGCTACCAAGTTTAGCTGGATTGGGTCAGAATCCTCCTCTGAAGGCCCAGGTGCCTCTATGACCTCTCTCTAGGTTTTTATTTCTAATCTTCACACATCACTGTGCTCCTTTTAGTTCATTTACTTCAACGGCCTGGGATGGGAGCAGGATATAGGATGTGCATTTTTGCTCTGCACAAACTTTTGACAGTCCAGGGATGGGAAAGGTCAGAGAGGAACCTCCTAATACTGCCCATTTGTTCTTTGATCCACATTTCAGAAAACTGAGCTCATGTTCCTTTTCCTTTCTGAATAGAAGCAGAAAGAACCATAGGATTTTTAGATGTGAGAAGAATAGTAAACAGAGGGAGACCATGTCTCTGCAGTGCTCTCTGTTGAAAGAGCGAGGCACACAGCCGTGGGGCCCTCTTCAAGGCCGAAATAACCTCAATCACTGTTATTTGGAGGAGGCCCAGACAAGGGTGGGGGACCTGGAAATGCCAAGCTCTGTTCCCAGGGGACTTTAATGAGATGAAATAACTCCATAAGCCCAAACATTTTGCCTCATTCCCACTTTGAGTGATATTTATAGGTAATACCAGCATAGAATCTTCACATCTCTCTGGTAACATCTAGTTCCAAGACATTTTAACTTTTTTTTTTCATTAAATCCCTACAACTTAATGTATGAAATTGGTCCATATCATTGTCCATATTTTCCGAATGAGAAAAATGAGAGTCTCAGGGATTGAGGCAATTACTTAATGGCAAATAGAAACAGAAACTGAGATGTTCTTATTCCCAGTTTCAGACCCGTTCTGAGCCCCTGTCATTCTTTCTACTTCATGACTCTGCAATCCCTTGTGTCAATAGGGCTTTTTGCAAAATCTTCCGCTAGACTTTTGCACCCCTCAGGCTCTCCATATAACACTCCTTACCATCTCCTCGCTGAGCCTATCCTACAAAACTACTAGGTTGCGAGTTAAAATGCTTTCATTATCAGATGTAAATATTAGATTACAGGTGAGATGCCTCTGAGCTGTAACAGAGATCTAGGCATTAAGATATTAATTCTCTGAAGAAATACTTAGTGAGCATCTCCTGTGTGCCAGACACTGCTCTAGGCCCAGATTCAACAGTTACCAAGTGAGACAGATTCCCTGCCTTCAAGAGGGCTTCTAGACTCCAGGTGACACTTTCCATCTCACTGTGGGGCAAAACCCCTATGGTGGAATGTCCGGCATTGTCTCCTGGCAGAGGAAGGCTTTGTAGGAAGCAGCCTTCTCGGGGAATTTCTAGTCCTATCAAGTTTGGTACCTTCTTAACCCAACACCAATCACCCGATAGTTTTTCTTTTTTATGCCTCCTTTGTTTCCCTGATACATATTAACATTCCTTCTCCTCCTCTGGCCTCTAAATTATCTTTCCCTAGGTGGGCAACAAATGCTTATTTTGAAACCTTTTAGGTTTTTCTAGTGTCATGGAATTCAGATGGCTCCCACAGGGTCTGGGAAAGGGAGAGAGAGAGCCATTCTGCACAGCCAATCTGTGACCAGAGCTCTGGAGCATCCAGAAGGAGAGAGCACGGGGAGTGTTCTTACATTCATCTACTGACCTAATTAAACATTCAACACCACATGTACGAAAACCTTAGCTTATGTGTCACATCTCCATGAGTGGAATAAGGGTTGCTAGTGTGAACCCTAAGTCATGGAGATTTTATTGCTTCCTTTCTAATATTAATAAAACACAGGCTAGACAGGAAAACAAAACATCACTTGACTTTCTTATCATAATCAACAATTCAGCTGGGGGGAGACCAACAGATTTATTGAACTCAAGAGAGAGACATAGGAAGGAGGGAATCCGCTTACTAGAACAGAGCCATCTAAAACTTCTAGCTCTAGAAATAAATCATTCTTTTTCTTTTTTGCAGAAGGTAAACCCCAAAAGGATGTAACCTACCCGTCGGCTCTTACATATTCATCCTCAAAAAGCCCCACTGCCAAAACAGGCAAGTGTTCATGAGAGTTTTCACCTACATCTTCTGAGTTTTCAAACGCTGAGTTTTAGGAGGTAGTGTAGAAATTGAATGGGGGATAAGGAGTGGGGATAACTGGGTGATGGGAGGTAAGGAGGCCACGTGATGTGATGCGCACTGGGTATTATACTGTATGTCGGCAAATTGAACTTAAATTTTAAAAATTGTCTGAACGACAACAACAAAAAGAAATTAACGTCCTAAGTGGTCAAGCTCCACTGACTCCAGCAATATTTTAGCAGATGCCAAGAACAGGGGCACAGACATCAAGGAGATAGATGGCTAGGCTAAAGAGTGATGCTTTCATTTTGGGGTTTTGTTTTTGCAATTCCAAGATTATCTCTATGTTTGTGTCATTTTCATTCAGAATGATTGTTGCCTTCAATTGTACTGTATTGTTGCTTTAGATGATGACAGGACATTCTGTCTAGAAATGTCCCCCTGACAGCTGAAAGCATACCTCTCTGCTAAGGTATGAAATGAAGGGCAGCAAAGGGGATGGGGTGGTGTATGTGTTCACAGAAAGCAGATAATTGAAATAACCCAGACAAAGATACACTGTTTATGAGGTTGAGCCTACCCAGCTTCATGTGAACCACAAGTGAAGTACAGGTAGACCTCAGGCCAGGAAAATACCATTTCCTAGGTTTCTGTGTTAAAATGGGAACTGGGCTATGCATGACTATGTCTTTGGGGACACTGGATTTCCCACACAAAGAAAAGGGATCAATTTCCCTTTCTAACATAAACATAATAAGGGTACTTGGGGTTCACCAAGCTTCTAGAGGAACTGCTCCTTAAAATTATAGTCTCATTAAAGAATAAGTTTCGCCAATTCAAATAAAAAATTCCTGTGAGAACCATAAAAGGATGGCCCCCTTTGTGGCAACCCGAATGATAAAATTCCTATAGGGATTAGGGGGAGCAGATTAGATGAAGATGTGAGGGCCAGCAGTTAGTTGTTCTCGCCTTGCCCCCCCCCCCTCAACAAAACCGCTTCCTAATCCCTCCAAGACTGTGAGTTAACAGGAAAATCAGGTTAGGATGACCCCCTCAAAGCATAATAACCTTCTTCCATGGGAAAATATCTCACTCAAAAAATAGAAAGCACCTTAAAAAAATAAAAATAAAAATAAAAAAGCATCTTGATGTGCCTGGTGCAGTTCCTGCTGGGGATGGATGTTCCTAAGATTTAAACGCTAATTCCCCAGGCAGTTAGCAACCATCAGGCAGGCAGCTGTTACTTGGCTAGAGTCTCCAGCTACTCCGAGCTAAATAAAAACAGGTAAGTGTTGTTTTGTGGAAGCTCACCAAACCTGAGAAGGCACATTGCTGGCACTCCAGCAAGAGAAAGGAAAGTAAATCTTTACTAGAGGCTACTGAGCTAGTGGTGGGAGGATCCTCTCCTGGTTCATCTTGGCCATCTGCCCAGCCTCTCCCACCAGAGGAAAATCAAGCTGAAGTTTATGATAATATGCTTGACTTCCTAACACCTTCCTGCCCCTCACTGCCTGTGCTCACTGAGGCTACCCCTCCTTGAGAGTCAGCCAGCTTCCACCAGAACTCTAGGGGGACTTTGGGCCACCCTCTGATGGGAACCACATCCGGGAACCTTGAGGCTATTCATGACTTGCCTTCCACCTTGTTCCTCTTTTGAGGAAAAATATATGGAATTTGAAATCAAACAACTGTGGGTCCAAATCCTGGCTCTGCTACCTATGGTCTGTGAGACCTTATGTATAGAATTTCTTGGGCAGCCCGGGTGGCTCAGTGGTTTAGCGCCGCCTTCAGCCCAGGGCGTGATCCTGGAGACCTGGGATCGAGTCTTGCATCAGGCTTCTGCATGAAGCCTGTTTCTCCCTCTGCCTGTTTCTGCCTCTGCCTGTGTCTCTGCCTCTCTCTCTCATGAATAAATAAAAATTAAAAGATCTTAAAAAAAAAAAAAAGAATGTCTTGATCTCTTGGAAAATATACTACTTACCCTAAAAATAGGAATTCTTGGATTGCCTTCCAGGATTATGATTAATATCAAATATGAATGCTTATGTAAAAGAGGCCTTCAGAGTGGTGCATAGTAGATGCTCAGTGAATATTACATTTCCTGCCCTCATGTATAGCCTTGAGGCCTGTAGTGAGTATTGGCGAGAAGATCCAAATCCTCCCCATCACTCTGAACTCCAGGCATTGCTATAAACTGGCTTCAAGGGATCCCTGGGTGGCGCAGCGGTTTGGCGCCTGCCTTTGGCCCAGGGCACGATCCTGGAGACCCGGGATCGAATCCCACGTCGGGCTCCCGGTGCATGGAGCCTGCTTCTCCCTCTGCCTGTGTCTCTGCCTCTCTCTCTCTCTCTCTCTCTCTCTCTCTCTCTCTGTGACTATCATAAATAAATAAAAGTTTAAAAAAATTAAAAAAAAAACTGGCTTCAATGCCTTTTTCATGGCACCTCACATTTGACACCTATGGAAACACTGGGGGAAGGGGACATAATATATAACATGATGATAAATGTCAGCTAGTGCTATTTATCGAGTACCTACCATGTGCTAAGCACTGTGCAGGACCCTCACAGACATGATCTTTAATTATGACAACAGCCCTGCCGGGTAGGTCTGACCATCTCCATTTTACAGCTAAAGAACCGGGCTCAAAGAACTTTAGTGGCCAAGCTGGTGAGGGCTGAAGTCAGGAGTCCAGGTGCTATGAAGAATTCACTTTGGGGATCCCTGGGTGGCTCAGGGGTTTAGCGCCTGCCTTTGGCCCAGGGCACAATCCTGGAGTCCCGGGATCAAGTCCCGTGTTGGGCTCCCGGCATGGAGCCTGCTTCTCCCTCCTCCTGTGTCTCTGCCTCTTTCTCTCTCTCTATGTCTATCATAAATAAATAAATAAATCTTTAAAAAAAAAAAAGAATTCACTTTGGTCACATCAGGCATTATGTTCAATGAGGAATTGGGAGCAATTGGAGTAGAGCTCTTTCTCTGTTTTCATCTTAAAGACAGTTCTATTCTGTGCAGGAGAGCAAGCAGAAACAACAGCCCATGGAAGACCATGGAAACCAGAGATAGACCTGTTGGTTGAATTGATGACATGCTTGAAAATACCTGTGTTTTAAGCAAGTAACACAAATGGCTGCCATCAAGATATTTAATGTCCTCCAGTAATCAGTATTAGCAAAAGAAGACCGGGGTATTTAGAAACCTCAGTATTAGCCAATGATGTGAGAAAAAGATAATTCATAGTTTCAATATCTAATAAGTGTAAGGCGGCAAAAATGTTCATTATTGCTAGTAGAAATTTTATTTTCAATTGTGGCTTAATGAATAATTTTTGCAAGTAAAATATACTCACTGTAGGTTTTATATATATCTTTCTAAATTAATAATTTTATTCTATTTCATAAACTATACAAGTCATCTGTTAAGTGGCTTTTCTCTGTATGAAGTAGATCCAAGCTGGGCCTGCATCCCCATGCCAAGGCGCAAATAACTTCAGAGCATTTACCGGAGGGTAAGATAGAAGACTACTTTGGAGAAACTAGAAACTCGCCTAGGACTTATTATGAACACCCAATTCCTTTTGAAGTTACGGAAATATCACAAATCACACAGGTTCAGTTTTGCCCAAAGATGTCATGAAGACTGGGTGAACCTGCAAGGCCAGTGCCAGCACCTTAGCAATTTGTCTGGCAGGCAGATTTAAAGATGACCAGATGTTAGCAACCACAGGGTAAATGAGAGATCTGTGTCTTGCCCCGATGGCCTAACGTCTACAAGAGCAGACCGAGTGGCCACACTCCAACCTATGCCTGGGCACCATCTGTCAACCTGCTCTCCTGAGTCAGTGTTGTGATTCCCACAGAAGGTGACAGCCGCAGGGTGGCAGACACACACATGCCAGAGCTGAGTAGTGGGCCTAAATGCCCCATCACACATTTGTCTGCATGGTTGGTCCAAGGCCAGCATGGTGTACACTGTCAAAGGGGAAGTTGGATGGTTCACAGGAAGAGTGGAGCACCTTCTTATCTCAGGTGCTATCCCCTTGGCTGCTGTTCCATGTGCCAAAGAATGCAGTATCCCTAAGCAGAGCAGGAGCTAGAGCTAGGATGCTGTGGGTGAGCTGAAAAACAACCCCCACCAAAGTACCCATGCCCTAGTCCATGAAATCTGTGGATTCTTCTGCATATGGCAAAACAGTAAAAATGGAGGAGGGAGACGGCTTTGTGGATGGGATTAAGTTAAGGATCTTTCGTGGGGAGATTATCCTGAATTAGCTGGGGTTGGGGGCAGCACAGAGGGAGATTTGATAACACACGGAGGAGAAGGTCATGTCAAGATGGAGCAGAGAGAAACCTGAGGATGTCAGCCTTGAAGCCTAGAGGGGTATGGCCATAAGCCAAGGAATGCCAGCAGCCAGATGAGGGAAGAAGCAGAAAGCAGATTCCACCTCGGAGCCTCCCGAGGGAGTTCAGCCCGGCAATACTGATTTCCATCATTTGGCCTCCAAAAGTGTGAGAGAATAATTTTTTGCTGCTTTAAGCCACGGAGTTTGTGGCAATCTGTTATAGCAGCCCTAGGAATCGATTACAGATGCACTGGTATTAAAGCTGGCATACCGGCCGTGGGGCTCAGGAGATACATGTAATGTAACTGGGAGCCTTGTTCCCTCCCAGGACTGGGGACCACTGTTCAGTTTCAGAACCATTTTGTGTCTCCTTCTGGCACAGACCCACGGTTGTCAGTTCAATATGCAATGCCCAGTGGGTAGCCACTTGTCCCCTTGCTCTGAACATTCAGAGAAGCTGTCAGAGCCCCCAGAGTACTAGCAAATTAAGACTTGTTTAAAACCATGGAAACAATCTAAATCATTACACATGAGTACAATTTAGAAGTAGAATCTGGGATGGTCCTTACCATCCAATTATTTCTGTTACCCTATTTTACAGATGAGAAAATGGGGGCCCAGAGGAGTTGGCTGACTAGTCATGAACCAATTTAAGCCAGAACACCTACAATGTATTCTCTAAGAGTAAGTCATAGTGAAAGCCCCGAAGGTTCTTTCCATTCCTAGGTCAATGCTAACTTCCACAGAAGAAAGGAAGGAAGGGAAGAAGGGAGGAAAGGAGGAAAAGAAAAGAGAGGGAGGAAGGGAGTGCCTGGGTGACTCAGTTGGTTAAGAGTCTACCTTTGACTCAAGTTCCTGGGATCAAGCCCCACATCTGGCTCCCTGCTCAATGGGGAGCCTGCTTCTCCCTCTCCCTCTGCCCCTCCTTCACTTGTGTTCTCTCTTTCTCTCTGTCTCTCAAATAAATAAATAAAATCTTTAAAAAAAAAAAAAAAGGAAGGGGGAGAAAGAAAGTTTATGAACCACTGCTTCTGGTGTCTTGCAAATTAATTTGGCAGTTAATCATGTTCTACATTGCTATAGTATTTAACCGCTGTTTAAATAGTTTATTGTTATTTAGTGTTTGGTTTATTGGCTCATTGCTCCATCCAGATTGTGCATTCCTTTCAGACAGGTGGTTTTTACCTTCCGCAACAACTAGCACAGGTCTTTGCTCAAAGCCAGTGTTCAATAAGCATGTATTTTGTCTCTGTCCTCAAGAGCCTACCAGCCATTTTGTAGGCCCCAGTGTAATTTTGCCTTCTTTACAGGTGAGGCCACAAAGGCCTATCAGAAGCCATCAGTTCCAGGAACGACTGCACAGCCAGTAACCCTGATGCAGGTAACGGGAGCCACTGCCAGCGAAGCCAGCCACACCAGTCTGCCAAAGCCATCCCCATCTGCAGTTTCTACCACCAGCAGCCTCAGATCACAGCCCATGGGCCACAGGAGCTGGGAGCTGGGTCAGTAGGTAGACTGTGTGTTGTCATGTGCTAGAAAAGTAGGAGACTGGGCTTTCAGAGTAACGGTCTGAATGCTTGTGTGGAGAGACCATCTTGAGAGCCAGGTGAGAGGTAAAGTAAGACCTGGGCCAGGAGTATGTCCAGACTCAAGTGTAGACTTGAACCTAATACTAATTCAGGACCAGGCTAAGAGCTAATCAAACCACGTAGAAGGAGCTGAAGAGACTTAATAACAGGACTACTGTTGTCATACTGTGGAAGGTAGGATCTTACATGAAACTTTCCCGTTGCAAAATCCTCATTTCTACAAAAGCCAAGTTGAAGGAATAGTAGGTTTTAACATAAATGCTGTTGGGTTTTGTTTTAAGTGATGCACTGTATACTCCTAGAAGTCTTCAAATATCACAGGCAAACAAAACAAAAAACTCCTATGGGAATAACCAGATAGCTAAATTTTTATTCCTTTTCTGATTGCTTCTTAGGCATCCATCTCTTAAATTATATTTTAGGTTTTACCAAAGTCAGTTTTATGAAATTAATCTTGGCATTATATCAAAAAAGGATCTTAAGAGCTCACCTGGTAACCCAATGTCTAGTTTCTACATGCTTTTATGCAAGCCACCCTTGGCTAATAAGCACCCATCTCACTTCTAAATGTCTGCTGATAAGAGTCTAGAAAATTCTGCCCCAGAAGTGACACTACTGTCTTAGCAGGTTTTTCTAAATATTTCCCACCTGGGGCTATTTTTCCCTTCTAGGAGAAAGTACCTGGGACTTGTTCTCCTTAGCCTCACCTCCAACTTCCAGACATTACTGCCACACAGCATGGCCCTTCCCCCTTCCATATCAGAGCCCAGCCATCTATCTATTCATCTTTTTCTCTAACAAATAACATCAGCACTTGTAACATGCTAGATACTCTTCAAAGCACCTTACAAATACCAGCCTAGGAAATCCTCCTCATAACTCTATGAAGTAGACCTACAACTTCTACTTTGACTAATCCCTTGTACTGATGAGGAAACCAGGGAGTAGAGCAGGGAGGATGTTGGCCTAGGCCACCCACCTGAGAAGCAGCAGAGCTGCGATGGCACCCCAGCAGCTGGGTTCTCCTGTGACTGTTCTGCAGGAGGCACTCCTGCCATAAACAAACACCCTAGGCACAAACAAAGCTATCAAAGAAACAGGGGCCTGCTCCACCTGGGCATGCATGGGGCATCAGACACTGTCAGATGTCAGGCACTAGCAACTCCTACTGTGATTAATACTAACAATGATGAAGCATACAGTCTGGGTTTTCCTGTGCCCAGCACCCTGTGCACCATATTATTCAATGTTCCTAATTATGAACCAAGGAGTATTATTAGCCCAATGAATGACCCATGGAAAAAGCAATGGTACAAAGTCCCCAAATAAAAATACCATAAAAATAGCATCTGGAACGCATAGGACACCCCCCATCCTGTTCCTATGGACCCCCAGATGACATGAGCACAGACACACAGCACCTGGCAGCAGCAGAAGTAGTTGGGAAGAAAGCATGCCTGGTGGGGGAGTCCCACAGCCAAGAGTTTTCCTTTTTCTGAACTTCAGGCTCTTGACTTTTAGAGCCCTTGATTCTTTCAAAGACCTTGAATTACTTGAGTAAGTTGTTTGCTCCTGGTGCCTCCTTGGAGGAGGGTCAGCTTTTACACAACACATGTAACTAAACACGTGGCATATTTATTTGGCTACAAAGGGAGCCTGGAAACTCAGTGCCACACTCACTGGCCTGTGCTTGTAGAAACCTCAACCACCTCAGGTTGTGGCTCCCAACCTGGCAAAGCCTCATTATTCCTGGCCAGAGAACAGGGCCGTTGGACAGCAGCCTCCCAGCCCACTGGCTTTCCTCTTCCACCTCGCCCAGCACCCGCGCCCTTGCTGCCCCACACACTGCCAGGCAAACACTCGGAGCAAGCGCTCCATGCCATGCTGTAGCCCCTGTGGCTGCCAAGAAAGGGGCCAAACTGGGAAGAGAGGACAGAGAAAAAAAATTCTATTACCTACTCAAAGGATTTTCTGTAGGTACAAAGAGAAATGAAAGTGGAGGTTTGAGTGCCCGTGTCTTTCTGTTAATGACAGTTAACTGAGTTACTTTCCACATCTCATACAATTCACCCATTTAAAGTGTACGATCCAGTGGTTCTTAGTATATTCACAAAGTTGCGCAACCATCACTATGATTGAGTCTAGAACATTTTTTCATCCCAAAAAGAAGCTCTGTGCCCCTTAACTAATCCCTCCCTCCCCAGCCCCAGGTAATTGCCAGTCTACTTTCATGAGTGTCTGTATCAGTGTATGGCTATAGATATTTGCTGTGATATTTTAGCTCAACTATATTAAATAATATTTAGTACACAGTTAATCCCTTTTCCTCTTCAAATGAATTGAGAATGTCCTGCCAACTATAACAGAGCAACTCTCCTACTGCTGATAGACAAGTGAGTTGTTGTTACTGCATTTATTAAGGGCTTTTTCCTCTCTTTTATATGTGACCAACCTCAAAAGATTCTAGAAGTTGGTTGTGGAAGGGATGTCCAAGTAAAACCTAACTTATTCATTCAACAAAAATTTATTGAGTGCCTCTTATGTGTCATGCACTGTTCTGGGATCTTGGGCTACACCTGTGAACACATCCTACCAAAGATCCCTGCAACAGGTCGCTTCAGCTTTGGACATCTAGAAGAGTGTGTCCAGAATAGAAACAATCTGCATTTGGAGTCTGTGAGTGCCTCTCAGACACAACATAGGAAACTGCAGGGAGTCCAGTGGAAAGTGGAAACTTTGTAATGGGAAAAGACAGAGGCTCTCCCAGCCCATGAAGAGGAGTAGTTACAGGTGGAAGAATAAGGAAAATGAAGGGGACACCCCTTAACAGACCGATGAACAGGCAAACCTAACAAGATAGCAAGGAATGAGTCAAGGCTGTGGGCAAGGGAGCCAAGAGCCAGGGCAATAGAGACTTCTCAGAGGGACAGGAGTGAGGCTGTTCCTCATGGGAGATGCCATAGAAACCCACAGGCGCCAGGCACCTGCAGAGCCACATCCCAGGGTCAGAGGGGGCAGTCTGTAGAACCAGATCCACAGATATGCCAAAGAATGTGTTCTGGAAAAGGCCTGCTGCAAGGTCAGCTGTATCTACCATAGGCTTACGAGGGTTGAGGTAGCTCTGCTGAGCATTATTTTAAGAAAATCCTTTCAAGAACTGCCACAGTTGCCTCAGACCTAACAGATTAAATCTGCCCACAAAGGGTAGACCAAGGAGGGGAGCAGAGTGCCGCCTAGTGGCAAGGCATGCTGATGGCCATGGTCATTCACCTTTCCAGGGAGGAGCAAGACCAGCATCAAAAACTACCCATCCCCTCCACACACAATTTCCCTTCTCACCAACGTTTATCTCCTCTTTGAAAGTTCATCTTCTTTTAAAGTATCAGTAGAACTTTTACTTAAAATCCAGTCTTACAAGTAGTAAGGAAAAAATAAGCCTTCCCATAGAAAAATAGGTGAAGGGCATGACCAGGCAAGCCACAATGGAAGAACTAGAAAAGACCAATAAATATAACAAAAGTTGTTCAACCTTACCAGAAGTCCAATAAATGCAAATTAAGCAATAACATGTCTTTTTTTTTTTCACCAATTCACGTAAGAAACTAATAATACATGGTTTGGGCAAGAACATGGAAAAAAACAACCCTAAATTTGCACTTACCACAGTATATCATCTGAGGGTGAAAAGGAGCCTGGACACAGATGTCATTCCTAATAGAAAAATAAGTATAAGTGGGTTAATTGTCCACCACCAGAATGGTTAAAGCAATTACCACACAGCTATTAATATTTTGATGAATATGTGCATTTACTGACATGAGATTGGCCTGTGACAGATAGTTAAGTTAAAGAAGGAGGCTACAAGACAGCACAGGCAATGATCTCATTTTGGTGCCTATGTGTCATATGTGAGAATGTGTGCATAGAGAAAGGGATCCAATGCTTTATACCATAGTTGTATACATACCAGTACCTGCAGGATAGAGGGATTGCAGGCGAGTTCTTCCTATCATGCTATAGATTTTTACAGTGAGCATGTGCTATCTTTACAAGTAGAGGGAAAACAAAGGTATTTGGACATTGTATTCAAGTAATTGGAACAAAGTCAACACGAGTGAAACGTTGATTGTGGACAGATTCAGATTTTGGAGGAACTGATATTATTCCCTGAACTTCTCTCTCTTCCTCTCCATGAAACTTGGTTCTTTTTCCTCAGCTCATTTTGACATGGCTCCCTTCCCGGCCCCAAATGGACTTTGCATCTCTCTTTACAATATCCCCCACCCCTCTCCTCCCTTTCAGAGCCTTGCTTCAGAGAAAGTGCCTGATAAATAATGAATACTGAAGTGTACTTGATTTTCTCCCAAAGTAATTAAGGATAACCCATTGTGTACCTTTAAAATGACTGAAAACTAATGTTATTTGCATCAATACCGTGTTCACGCCATTTAAGCAAATTGCTAAATGTTAAGTGACATTGCTACTGGAGGATTGCTTTCGCCTCCTCAGGAGTGGCACCGTTGAGGAGAATTATTGTAAGTATAATGACGTGTAAAAAACAATATGGCACTTTAATAAAAGATACTTACTTTGACAATCGTGAAATACAAGGGTTGTTATTACCTGGAATCTTGAGTCTGTGTTTTGAGCTAACTCCCCTCTCTCTTTTTTCCATTTCAGTGCCTCCTTGGGGCAGGTCCAGACCGCCCAAGGACAAAGCTTTACCTTAGTTCTGACCTTGGCAGTGTCTTGTTAGGTTGGATCATGGAAAGAATGAGAACTGATTAAAATTCATGCTCTGACCAGTCCCATGTTATTACAGATCTCTGGTCTACCAGCAGCGATGCAAGTGGCCAAAACAGCCCCCGCGCCAATGCAGGTAAGAGCCTGAATTCACCTTTCTAGCTTCTGGGGGAAGTTCAGCGTTTTTATGTAAGGTTTGTCTTTCCAGGTCCTTGCCATTTGATTTAGGTTTGGACAGAGAACCTTAAACCAGTGATTCCAACAGAAGATACCACTCAAGGGCCCAACTTGTAAGGAAACTTGAAAGGGAAGCAAGGGAGCTATTAAATAAGCAAGGCTTTCACCAATTGCCATTCCCTTGAGGCAATTTTGTGGAGGTTGTGATAGAACTTCCTGAGGATTCAGTAACTAGGCTCTTATAAAGCTGAAAAGGGATACTCTCTGGGGTTTGTACTGGAGGAACTAGGGTAAAAGAAAGAGAACATTTTGTAGCATTGTCTAGGAAAGGGCAGAGCTGATTTGCCAGGATGCTCCTCTGATAGAGGGAATAGAAACACATTCTCTCGCCTCCAGGAATTCTATGAATTATGACACCCCCCGGCTCTCCTTTCCTCACTTCTGTGTGCATCCTTTAAAGGTTTGGCCCAAACACTGAGATTGCAGAGGGATGAGGCAAATGCCCTTCTTGCAACGCCCGTGAAGCCAGCAGAGGTTAGAAAGGAAAATCGAGCAGGGCTGGATGCTTTCTACAAATTCCGCTCAGGGCTTGGGCCACAAGCTGATACGCTTGATAGAAGTACACAATACCTTTTTGCAGCCACGGGGCACTGCCCTGGGAAGCCTGGACCTCCCAAGGAAAGGAGCTCATGTCTTACTTTTGCAGGGGGATACTAGGACATCCTCCACACGTTAAAAGATTCCTAGAGACTGTAGGTTCTGTTTTGCTTTGATACTGGATCAGAGCAGCAGCTCCATGTGGTCCCCCAAACAGGACTAGCATCTAGGAGTGGCACAGGTGTACCTTTGCCAAAGCACATGTTGCTGTCCTGGACAAAAGATTTTAAGAATCAGGTCGCTGGGCAAAGCAAGAACTCCCCTAGGCCATCTTAGCCCTCTCCCGGCCCATGGGGCTCTTCAGGCAGCCAAGCATGGGGCACTCTCTCCTCCTGTCCCCTTGGCTAGGATCTTTGACTCCTCCACAACTCCCAAAAGGAGAGCAAACCACAGACAGCTCAACTGACTTCCAAGGAAAAGCTGACCCAGGGGCACTTTTCATCAAGAGGAAAATTAAGGGAAGAGAGCAGACTGCTGGTTGCATGTAAATCAGCCAGTGCTGTATAATCCCCTCGGGTGGCCAAAGTCAGGATTATCCCAGAGCTGCTTTCCAGAAACCTACCAGAGCACAGGTCAACCTGGGGACCATTGCTGCCCCAGGGCACTTGCACATTCCCTACTCCTCACATGCTCCCTGCTAGCCTCTGCAGCTCATCTCCACATCACCAGAGTGTGCGGGCAGGCCAAGGGGTTTTCACCTCTAGGGAAATGTCTGTTTGCTTTGTCTGTTCTTAGTGTGCCAAAGAGAAAAGCTCTAGCAGTCCGGACACTCAATAGCATTCCTGGGCTGAGTCTGTTTGAGAGGTCCCAGAAGGGCAACCTATGCCCCCACCTTGCACACCCCAGAACCTGCCTCTGGGATTGAGCTCAAATTTGACCCAGACACACCACCGCAAATCAAACATGGTTCAGGGGGTGGTCGGCATCGAGGAACATTACCTGATCTCCAGCTCCTATTTTTTTTTACTGCCAACAACCCCAGGTTATTTTACGTGTTTGATCCCATTCCCTTTTGCTACCCTTACTACCTCTGGTTCTCTAGCTGTGAGCCCCTGTTTTGTTCCCATCCTCCTGCATGCTCCCAGCAGTTATGTTCTCTCTCAAGCCTCCCAGATGCTCCCCACTCCCTTTGTACCCTCAAATCCTACCTGTTTCTGTCACTCCTCTCCCTCCATCCTCATCCCTGGCACTTTGCTCTGAGCCTCCCACCCACTCCCAGGGAGCCCTTGGCCTCTGGAGTGCCTCCTAGACCGAGGGGAACCCAGACTTCACTGGTCCCATTGCCTCCTGGGGGCTCCTGCAGGCTTCTCTCCCAGGACAGAAGCCACTCGTACACGGTGCAAAAAGGCAGCCCAGAACGTTTGGGGTTCTTAGATGCCCTTCTGCAGGTGCTCACACCAGAGGTAATCATGTCTATCAGGCAAGTCACCCAATTCTTTGGCTAGAAAACCATCAAAACATGGAATTGGGAAGAATTGCATAAAGTGCATCTGGTCTCATTCCCCATCAAACAAATGAGACCCTTGTGGCACGCCAGATAGAGGCCTTTGCCCCAGGTCAGGTTACTTTGAGTGAGCAGTCAGGGGATTCCCTGCCCCTCACTGTTAGACAGAACTATCTAGAACTTAGGGCCACAGATCTGAATTTGTCTAACTAGAGCTTGTCCAAGTGTGGTCCGAGGACTTGGCTTTCAGGGATTCTGTGAGGTCCTCGCATCTCCTACTGCACAACTCTTTGTGTACTTCAACCAAACACATATCACACAGAATGATGAACAGATATCAGATTTGGGCAGTCTTTTATTATGCCAGACATTGAAGAAAATTGTTACACTTCTTACCAAATTGCTTTTAAATAACAGCTATTTCCATAGAAAGTATGTTAAAACACAATAGCTCTATTTTTAAATGGGAAAATAGTTAATATTTTTTTTTCAAATGAAAGAATGCATTATTTCAATTTCTAACATGATTAAAAACAATAGATATGACCCCCACAAACAACATCCCTTTGGAGTCTTCAATTATTTTTAAGAGCATGAATTTGAGAGCCTTTCAAATATACGAAAGAAGCTTTCATGTCCACCTTTAGGGCTCATCTTTTCAAGGATAAATGTCTCCAGTTCCTCCCACAGGTCCTTCTGTGACTGGTGGTACACCCAGTTAGCTACACTACAGTCCTTTCATGACTCAGAATAAGGCAGAGCAGGTCATGATGCCACAGGGGCCGTGTGCCAGGGAACTGCCTCTCTCAGCCTAACCTGCCTCCACTAAAACAACCCAAGTTGCATTTGGGAGATGTCCTGTCAACCCATCAGTTCATCTCCTCCTGAACTGGCGATGACTCAAGTCACCAGGACTTTTTTCTCTTGCACTTCTAGAGAAGTGGGTCATACCAATCCCACTTTTGTGCAGTTGAGTTTTTGAACCCAACTTAGAACATCACACTTATCACTATGAAATTCTCCATTAGTTTCATCTCTTGCAATCTTCGTGAATCTTAATTCTGTCATTTAGTGTATTAACTACCCTTCCAACTTTTCTGTCATCCACAAAATTGATTAACATGCCGCTTGCTTCTATTCTTATCACTGATAAAAATACACCTCATTGGACCAAATCTCATGAGCCCCACTAAATACCTCATCTGTGTTTAGGGCAACCAATTAACAGATACAAGCAGCTATATATGGACCTAATGAGGTAGTCATTGACCTCAACACTTCATCCTCTGCTCCACAGGACACCAGACTTAAAACCAATGAATGATTCCTGCTACCCTTCCTGCTGTGCCTTCTGCCCACAGATGTAACCTCACACACCTCCAATTTAAGCCACCACCCCCACTGCAGAGGAACTGTTCTACAATTTGAAATATGTATATTTACTGAGCATGCTGTATGTCAGGCACTGTGCTGTGGCTTAGAACTACAAAGATGAACTGGATATTTTCAGATCCTAGAATTGTGCCTCTATGGGTAGAAGTTCCCATATTCTGGTCTTCCACAGTCATCGGCAAGGCCACTGCCCTCTGCCCTCTAGCCATCACTGCCAGATCTTACCCCCTCCTCCAAGCATCTCTGGGTGGGGACAGAGGCCACCTTGCTAGCATGGCTGCTCCTGCTATATTCCCCAGGGGAGGGAGGGGTGTTCCCGATGGCTTCAGTTAGAATGCAGTGACTTTTCCTCAGAACCATTCTGCTTCATGCTACCGTATTTGATCAAATAAGCTTCACTGGCCTGGAAAGTGAACCATGGAGTTAATGTTTACATGAGAAAAGACTGCCAGGTCCCAAACCAGTATCCCCCACTGAGCTTGGAGGGTAACCTGTGTGTAAACCCAGGACCATGGATGCTTCTCAGGGATGACAGCTCATGCCCAGAACCCGCGGCCTATCCTCAGCCCTCTCTGATAACCCCGGTGCAATAGGCCGTGGGCACGGTGACACCATTGGCACAGCCAGCTGCTCTCTGAGCACCCGCCATTCCACTATGGCAAGAGAGAGTTGTCCAAGGGAAACGTGTGGCCCAGGGCAGGAAGCCAGGCTGAAGGGCCAGAGGTGTGGAGGTGCCCCAGCTCCAGAAGCCTGCTGCTTCTCAGACTGCCACCTCCTCACACCCCCACTCTAAGGGAATCTCTGGGTGGGGGCCGGGGGAACCAGGCAGTTGAAGGGCCACCTGTGCTTCTGCCCCATAAAACTTTAGAGGCCTAAGGGCCATGTGTTGCGGCTCCTGCTTGGGTCCTGGGCTGGTGGCTTCCAGATGTGCAGGGAACAGAAGCTGTAACCAGTGCAAAGGTCACCTTCAGGGTCTCACAGCAGGGATTTCGGGCCCTCTCCTTTAGTATGAGTTGTGGTTTCTCTTCAGGGCCTACCCCAGTACCCTGACATGCTGAAGTGGCCCTCACTCCTGTGTGACAAACAGGTGGTGGTTAATCGCGGGCTCCAGATCCCAGCCTTCCAATTCAGCTCCATCTCTCCCTGTGCATCAGTTTCCTCACCTCTAAAATGGGGGTCATAGTTCTAACCTGACTCACAGGGTTATTGTGACTTAACCTTGCAAAGTGCTTGGTCACTGCCTGACACTAAGCACGCTCTCCCTGTTAATGGTTCTACGTTCTTACCACGGGAATCCTTCAGAGCCGGCACCTCTTAGACACTGATAGTATCGATGAGATGACCAAGAGAGGACTGCCACAGAAATAAGTCCCTGTGTTGTAAGACTGCCTTACACTTTTCCCTCCATGGGAGGCAGGGCAGGATAAGTGCTGATGACCTCAGCTTTACACAGGAGAAAACTAAAGGTCAGGGAAGGTAGCGAGTCCCCCCAGCTCCCGGCTGGGTTTCTGTAGGCACCGGATGGGCCTTCTCACGCCTTTTATCCTCACATCACCTGGTTCCTCCCGACACCAGAATGTAAGTGTTCTCACAAACTTACGTGCCATTACTACCAAGTCCAAAAACACCAAGCCTCAGCTGTCCAAATATTTGTCAGCCCTCAGCTTTTGGAGAAAAATGATTTGGTTCATACTTGTCCCAAATAAATAGAAGCGGCACCAACAGAAGGACCAGCTAGCAGGACAGGATGTGAGGGCGTGGAGACCCCTGCTGAAATATGTTGGCCATTCTGATTCTCTGTAGCCTTTGAGGGGACTGAAAGCTTCAGGCGAAAACAGAGACACCACCAGCCCTCCAGGGTTTGGGGGGGTGGGGGGGTGGGGGAGCGGTCATTTGCGGTTGTTGTTCCTGTAGGGAAAGGACAGGTTTTTGCCAGTAGGTGGCGATAGAGAAATAAGGCTAAAGAAGCCAAAGGTTTAAACTCTAAAGCATAAATTTGAACTGGGAGATCATCTCATCCAACCTGCTAATGTTATTCAAAGAAATTAAGGCTCACAGAAGGTGTGCAGCTTGTTTAAGATCACACACCTGGGTAATGGCTGAGCCGAATTAAACTCCGCTCCCACCGTGAAATCTGAATGTGCACGAACACGGTCTGCCTTTCAAAACAGCCTGGCATCTCCATCATACAAAGGGAAATATCACTTCTTTCTAGTGTGTTAATCACTGCAGCATGCAGCGACCTGCTGGGCTCATTAGGCCCTCAGAGTTTGGGTTTCTGAGCTGGGGAGGTGGGGAGAGGAGGAAGGGACAGAAGGAGAGAAACAGCTATCATTGGTGTCCTCAAGAGGCTTCGTAACACCTTTGTGCTGCCTCTGAGCCCCTCCTGGCCATGACTCCCCCAAAACCATCAGGGACCACAGGCTAAGAATCCCCCCCTTCCTGACCACCCCTTCCACTTTATCAGCACCAGTTTATAGTGGAGGCGTTAAACATTTTACTGCGGGTAGAAATGCCAGGTGCCGCTCTGCTTTCTTCTGCTTGCGGCGCGCAGTGAGAAGCAGAGACTCAGGAAATGAATGGACTACCTGCCCCCTGAAGCGGCCAGATTTGTTCTGAATAGTTCTAAGGAAGAGAACATAAACAGATGGGTGAGTCAAATGTACCTCAAATGACGGTGGGCACATATTGGGTGCTGAAAAAGTGTGGATGGAGCGTTGGATTAAGATTTTAGATCAAAATGAAAAAAATTTCTAACAGTCTCAATGGTTCAAGAAGGAATGTACTATCTTGATTGGGTATATGATGAATTCCCTGTCTCTGGAAGTATTTAAGGCACCAACCATCCAGTCACTTGGTACGGATGTTGTAGAAGCATGCTGGGGGGATTGGTTTGGATCGGACGAGCTTTTAGGTTCCCTTGAATCCCTGGATTCCTATTTTCTATGATTCTTGATGCACAGTGAATGAAAGGAAAGGGCAAACACGCTTCTGTCTTTGGTTTTCAAAGCTTTCCAAGGGGAAAATCCTATAGGTTTTAGGTGGCCTCATCTCAAAGTCTGGTCCCATGTTCTTTTACTGAACTTTCTGCCACAGCTGGAAGATGTCATCATCCTGGCACTTCATTTGAGAGCTTCTGCTGGTTTCACCTAAATAACAAGTTTGCTTCTTTTTAATTTTGAAAATTAGGGGAAATGGACTTGTGGAAACCTGGATCGGTCCTTTTAGATGCAGGTAATTATACAGCCCAACCTCCTGGCCATGACTAGATGGAGACACATAGGATTACAGAATTAGGAGAATCTGATAACCCAGCTGGTGGTGCAGAGGCCACTGCTGTGCATTGGATAACAAAAGGGAAATGAGAAACATGAAGACTAAGACCCACAGGGGAGTGAGTTCCTTGCCCCAGAATTAGGTTTCGATGCTCACTCCATCTGGAGGCACACCCTGACTTCCCTCTATTCCCTCTTCCTTCCTTGCAAAGTGGGATCCAGCTTTCCCTTCCTGTGAATGAGTGTTGTTCACTGTTTACTGAATTAAGTGTTTGGAACTCCAACAGCAAACCCAGCTCTTGGTCTGCGGGCAGATTTCACTGGTAGGGAGAGACAACAGGGTGGAGGAGAGAACGCTGGCCTCTCATTTCTTCCTCCCCCTCCCCCCAGTAGGGAGCCTCAGACAGTTTCCCTGAGAGGCTCCTGGCTGAGAAAGGCCATTAGACACCCAAAGCGAATTTTTAAAATGATGCGAGGAAGTGGGATGAGCAGACTGACCTTTCATGGAAAGATGAAATCATGTGCTTGGCAAATTGGAAAAACTAACAAGCCTAGAGAAAGCTCATGGCAGCCAAGAGGGAGCAGAGCCCCCTTCCTGCTCTGCTAGAGCCTCTAGGAGGATGCTCCCAGGCATCCGGAAAAACCAGGAGACCAACTGACCAACTTCTGGTGCTGCCTGAGAAACTCACTGGCCTTCCCAAGCCTGAAAAGATTCTTACTGATCATCTTTATACCCTTAGATGTTACATGTGTGAACTTGGCTCCCATGTAAATGGCTCTAAAGAAAAGACCCCAAGGATGAAATTCAACATACACACACACACACACACACACACACACACTCCACAAGCACAAAACCCTTTTGCAGCTTTACCTCTAATCTCAGGCTGTAGAGGGGAGGGATTGCTTTCTGGACCCTCTTATTTATTTGCATTACTGGATCTTAGGTCCTCCCCTGCAGTCTATATCTGCACTGCCCCCCCCCATTAGACTGTCCAAGTGTCTCACCCATCTTTGTTCATTGACTCAGTCACCAAATGTTGACCAAGGACCTACATGTGGTAGGCACAGTGAAGGTTTACATGATGAGCAAGACACATGCCCTGACCTTGAGATTTTCAGAATTTTACAGAAGGATAATTTCCACTGGCAAAGTGCTTATGGCTTGCAGATAAGGAAACTAAGGCTCAGATAGATTCAGTTAACAGGCAGTAGGGAACAGACCCAAGTCTTCTGACTTCAAACACTCTGAGCACCCAGGAGAGTCCTGTGTCATTAGTAGGCTGTCAGTAATTCATTCTTATCTCTGAAGGCGGGGGTGGTGTGGAGAAGAGCACAGTCAGCCTTAAACCAAGCCCCCCCCCCCCCCGCCCCAAGCTGGGTGTGAATATCCATTATGTCCCCATCCCTGGGGTAAGGCCAGATGCTTCCTGTTCTTGTAAGTCACCAAAAGTTTTACTGTTCTTTCCAGGATTTGTTCCAAAAGAAGAATTAAGCACACAGTCTTTGGAGCCAGTATCCCAGGGAGATCCAAGTAAGTGAACTGACAACTAGAAACCCAGAGCGACTGTGACATCTGATCTGCTCCCCTCTCTCCCCACTCCTCCCACGCAAACCCACTTCTCTCCCACCCTGGATCTATTTATCTCCTCTCTTCTGTCACTTCGTTCTAAGGGGAAAGGGGAGCTAATGGAGGATTTAAACTGTGTGCACCAGGGGGAAAGGATCAGACTTTTTAAACATTACTATGGCAACAGGGTGGGATGTAAAGGGGAGACAAAGGAGTGGGGGTAAAAGAAGAGACTGCTTTGCCAGGAGGGTCAGTAGCCCAGTGGTCATGATGGCAGACAGAGCCATGAGCTGGAAGTGGATGTGGGGAGAAATAGGCAGATTTGGAAGATAGAGAAGGAAGACTCTAGAGGATTGGAGGTGGAGGTGTGCGAGAGGAAGCCAAGGAAGATGATTTGAGCAACTGGGATAAATGGTACCGCCATGAGGACCTCTAGGGGTGGGGTCAGTGGGGGCAGGGAGATTGTTTCTGTCTGCCATCTTCCACAAGACATCGGGTCTAGGAGACAGTTGACTACCCAGATCTGACTGAGAAGGAGCAGCCCACCTGGGAATTCAGAGTTGGAAGATGATGAGCTAAGGTTCAAAACCAAGGTTATGAAAAACAGGAAAGGGGATCTAGGGAAACCAGAGGCCTTAAACCCGAACACCAGCACCAAACAGGTGGAGGAGCCACTTGAAGATACCAGGGAAGAAGGAACAGGGGAAAGGAGGAAAATCAAGAGGCAGTTGACTGTTGCAGGCCAAGGAGATCACCTGCAGATTCCTTCAGAAAGTTGTGGCAAGTCAGCCACCGGTGCGCCATGAGTCCCGACCCCACTGGGTATGAGAATCAACTGAAGACATTTTTAAAAAATCAAGAGGCCAAATTCCTGGCTCATACCTCCTGAATCACACTCACCCTAGATCTTGCTACTCTGGGTATGGTCTGACCACATCAGTGTCACCTGGGGGCTTGTTAGAACTGCAAAATCTCATGCTCTACCTCAGACCTACTGAATCAAGGGATTTCTTTGCATATCAAACCTTGAGAAGCACCACTCAGAGAGATTTCTGGGCACCTTTATTTGTTGAAGCTGCAAAAGTGACTCTGATATATATTCAAGGTTAAGAAATCCTGGCCTAATGTATTGAACAACACAAAGCATTAATCTATAAAATTATATCATGTTGGATAAAACCAAAGCAATTAAGAAAATTGGTAGATTGATTCCTGTAGACACTATATCGTACCTTTTCTTCCTTGTCCTCCAACCTCTGTCCTCTGTGACAGCAATAAATTGCTCATGCTGAACGCTTAGTAACTCAATCCTGTCCTGTAGTATTGATGTCATCTTCATATCGGCATGTTTCCATCCCAATATGAGAAAGCCACCGGGTCTCAGGGAGCACACGCTCAGAGCTGAAACCAGGATCATTAGAGCAGCCTGGGAAATGGAGAGCACAGGTGATTCCAATGTCAGCCATCAGGGTCCTGAGTAAAGAGAGCCAAGCAAGTAGAGAGCATCTCAACTTCTTAAAACCTAGCTATGAAATGAATACTTCCATCTTGAGCACGGTTCCAGATGTAAGAAATAAGAAAAAAATGGTCTATGAAGAAGCGAAACAGGGTCTCAGAATCCATGTGCTTTATTTACTGAAAAAGAAAATCATCTTTGGGCCTTATTCTAATTAACCACTATTTTTTTTTTTAAGTTTTTATTTTAAAAGGCATATTGAACTAATCTGCTGACAGCTGGAAGAAAAACCCCTGTTCAGGAGTGCTTCTCAAACTGTAATGGGACAGAGATCACCTGGAGATCTTGTTAAAATGGGGGGGATCTGATTCTGTAAGTCTGGGTGGAGCCTGGGGGGGTCCTCATTTTTAGCAACCCGCAAGTGTGGTGAGCAAGGAGCCCTGAAGAACACCACTGCCACCTGCTGGCAACAATTCTCATTGCAGAGCTCAGGAGTAGGAAAGAACGGGTGGACCTTGCGTAGGATACAAATCACAAGCCATAGAACAGTTCTGCTTCTTTTCTCCTTTTTCCCAGGCTTCCGTGGTATCTTTAAGCCTCACTTCTTGATTTTTATTTGATTCTTCCGGTCTTCATCTCAAGGATCATGGTTTGGCATAGGCAGTTTGGGGGCACAGGACAGGAGAAGCTAGCTGAACAGGAAGAGTTGTCAGGCACCGACTGTCCAGGCAGACAGGAAATAAAAGTTTGCAAGATCCGCTAATGAGCCAAGGCACTAATTCCAGATGGAGCAGAGTCAGCCAGGCCCAGAGAGGTCCCTGTCATCGCCTACTTCTCTGGCTTTTATTGCCATGCACCAGCGCAAGATAATGAAGCACAATCCCAGATAAAACTTATTTCCTTGATCTGCCAATTCTGTAGTATCACTCTTTCATAAATATTTCTCATCAGTTCTGCTTAAAACTGTGTCAACTCATATTCATTTCTTGCTCTCATTTAATATATGCATATATCCCTCCCTGCTTACTGGTCTCCTTCTGAGGATTGGGAGGACCCCAGTCACATGGAAGTGATGCAACACACATGGGAGAGAAGAGAAGCCTGAGAGTGGCCTCATGGGTGATCGTGAGGCAGCCTAAGGAGATCCAGGCTTGTCCAGGCAGCTGCACGCCCAAGCACAAAGGGCAGCACCGGCCTGAGTGTCCTTGCGGATACTCCAGCCCAGAAATTCCTAATATCAGTGTCCTTCTCTCTCTTTTTCCCCATAGAACTCGATTTTGAAATATTTTTGTCTCTCAGACTGCAGGTGTTAAACGATTCATTCCCCCACTTTTTTATTAATCAAAGGGATATATAGCTCCCAATAAGAACTTCTGATCAGAATTGAATAATCAGTTTTATCATACTAAGATGATGTAATTTCAGTGAAGAGCAGAGAAGATACTACTACCAGGTTATATGGCTTTCGACCAATTCCCACAGTGTTTGAAAGGTCTAGAATAGCTTTCAGCCCCCACCTCCATCATAACCTTCATATATTCACAGAGGTCCAGAGATCCTAGCCAGAACCAGTCCTAGTCTTTATCACAACTAAAAGAAAGGAAAAAATTCGAAGACTGCTACAAACAAGTACTGATGTGTATAGATACATGTGGGTAATTCCACGGTTGCCTCACCCAGGAAAGTGAAGGAGAAGATTGGTATCAATTTCTCATTCTACCGTTCCTGACCTTCCCTCCTCACTAGCCTTGCAGATTTCATACCTTTATAAAAACTCAACACATAATTCTACAAAATTAAGATGGGAGTAAGAGACCGCAAGGTCCTGAGACTCAGTCTTGGTGAATTCTACATCTGGGGGTTGACACTGAGGAAAGTAACCTCAGGGCTTTCCCACACTTGACTGGAAGGCCATTGCTTCTGAAGGCTGTAAGTGCGGCTGATACAGAGAATTCTAAAGCAGTTATAGAAATAAGTACCAGTCCGAGTGTCCCGGACCTTGGTGCCCAGGGAAAATCTGTCAAGAAGTTAAATAAATGAATATACCCTGCATCTTGCCACAACTTTTTACTTTCTTTTCATTGGATTCTCAGGGGCTCTGGTGGAGAGAGGAGAGAAAGCCCAGGTTAACGCAATGAGGGGTCATCAGAATTAACAGAGCCCTTTTCCATTCCTCAGACTGCAAAATCGACTTGTCATTTTTAATTGACGGGAGCTCCGGCATTGGCAAACGTCGATTCCGAATCCAAAAGCAGTTCCTGGCTGATGTTGCCCAAACTCTTGACATTGGCCCTGCTGGTCCACTGATGGGTGTTGTTCAGTATGGGTAAGTGCTGTTCTTAATCCAGAAATCAAACGATGTTGCCTGCTGAATGTTGTGCCACGAATCATACCAATGCATCCTACAGCACATATTCATCCTCTTCCCTGATACAGATTAAACAACAGAAATGGAAGCAATTCAGGTGCCATTTAAGAAATCTGACTCTTCCAGGAGGGAAGGACAGGTTAATGAACATGTGGAAGTAAATGGCATTTGCACTCATGCTTGGTAGAGAGAGTATTTATTTGGGAATGAGGAGAGCTGGATTCAAGTCTTAGCTCAGTCAATAATACGCTGCATGGCCTCGGGCTAGGGCTTCACCTCTCTGTCCTCAGTTTCCTTACCTGTAGACCAAGAAGGTGGACTGTGCCCAGTGCTCCCTCCTGTCCACTTATACGTAAGAGGCGTCGAAAATATGGTGCTGTAGGTTGACTTTCTCTTTTCTCCATGTGACCTGCTACTGGAAAACCTCCCCAGGTAATGGAGCAGACGGGCTGGCTGGGGAGTTGGTCCCATCGGTCAGCTGAGCACCAGGTGACTGTGTCCAATCCATTCTGTTATTCTAGTTAGGGTAGAAACTGAGCATTCATACTGACATCCACACTCAACCTTTCCTCTTATTTGGGGTCCTAAGTCAATCTTATTTCATAATAATAGGCCTTTCTCCAAAGCAGATATACAGATGTTGGCAGATAAGCAAACAATTGAAAGAGCAAACAAGCATAAATCTCAAATAATTGATGGAACCATTAAGGGCAGGAGAGCAATCTCACTTTCCACAAAGGACCCTCGTACACAATATGACCCCTTCTTCCCCACAGATCTTCAGCTTAACCTTAGCAATAGAAACTAACACAGACCCTGGTGACTCTTGCTCAGAAGCCTCAAAAACGTAAGAACATTTATACCTGACAACAATCAGAGGATCTCCAGATCTTTCAAAATTTCCCAAGGATCTCCAGCAGTAGTATTTTAATCAAGGTTGTTATAACAAAGGCCCTAGAATATTTATTTTTGAACTGTAAAAAGAAATAATCAAAACCCCTTTATTTTCATAAGAACTTATAACATTTGTACTTTTAGCACTAAATCCCAATAACACATTTAGTAATATCTTCTATTCCCATGAAAAATTTTTCCCAAAGAAAAATTAGTAGTTGAGCTACCTGGCACTTGTATATAGTCAGAGTCAAATATATGAAAATAACCAATTGCTGCAAATGTCAACTCTCAATATCAAAGGATCTATCTTGAGGAGTTTAACTTGAAATAGAAAAATAAGATTTTTTTTTTTTGGTCATTGTTTTCTTGTTTTCGAAATGTCAACCTATTTTCATTCCTGCATTACTTTTTAAAGATAGCAAACAGAGAGCAGGCTTCTCTAGGGAGGAAATGTAAGCATTTTTGTGCCAGATGTCCCCAGTCAATTTTATTGGGGGGTTCAAAGCTTGGTGTGTCATCTTGCATTAAAAATAGCTGCTTTAAAAGCTGTGTATACCAAGGTTTATAGTATAATATGAAAATAAGGTAATAAATATGTCAAGGAAAAGAAAAATGGCAGGAGAATGGTGCGTGTGCCAGTGAGAAGGTGGATGAACGAGCAAATGTAGCAAGGAAGGAAAACCATTTTAGTCAAGGCCCCCCACCCCACAGAAGACCATCCCCCAACCCCCCACCCTCTGCCGTTTTCCTAATGTGATTACCAATTTCACTTTCTAAAACTGCCTTGCTATTCATCTTTTTTGCATCCTGGGTCCTTATTTATTTAGAACACTTAAGAGAAATTGTGTCTGTTTTCCTTCACTTGATGCTCATAGAGGGTAATCAATCATCTGCACCCTCCTTAGCCGCGGGGTGGAGTGGAAAGTACAATGAACTAGTGACAGTATATCTTGAATTCTGGCCTTAGCTCTGCTGTGTGACCTTAAGCAGGTCCTCTAACCTCTCCATGTGAGTGCTGCCATCTGTAAAGTACTGGGGGTGCATGGGATGATTTATTAGGGCTTTGCCAAACCTGACGTTCTGTGATTCAGTGACTGGCTCTGTACTGGGAAGACAACCAATAAATGAATGTTGGGCAAACAGGCTAGATGAGCCGCCTCTCCCTTCTAGCTTTGGTTCTGGTTAGGTAGAGTAATCTCTAATGACACAATGTTTTGCACGGAGGTAATGGATCCGTCAGTGGAATGTGGGAAATACAATAAATTGGAGGGTGGTATAAGAAGGGTGTGATGAGGGATCCCTGGGTGGCGCAGCGGTTTGGCGCCTGCCTTTGGCCCAGGGCGCGATCCTGGAGACCTGGGATCGAATCCCACGTCGGGCTCCTGGTGCATGGAGCCTGCTTCTCCCTCTGCCTGTGTCTCTGCCTCTCTCTCTCTCTCTCTCTGTGACTATCGTAGATAAATTTAAAAATTAAAAAAAAAGAAGGGTGTGATGAGGTGCAAGGGGAGATCCATTGTGCCCAGCTAAAATTGCTTTTGATTTCAGCTGCCTGGCTCCCTCCCTGAGAGGCTCCCTCCAATCCTTTGACTAACAGTCTTAGTGTATAAAGAGGGAGGGAGTGGGGCAAGAAAGGGGAGGAGGCAGGAGTCCTCCCAGATGTGGGGCCTGTGTTTCTGGCAAAGGAAAAGCAGGAAGAGCCAATACTTGGCGGGTTGGGAATCTGATTCTTCTCCTGGTGTTTTGGGTTCTCAGCAGATTCCAATGCCCACCTTACCATCCCTGGGATCAGCCCTGTTCTCTCAGAATCGCAGAGCCTTGGGACCATAGATAGCTCTTGTTTTCACCTCCTCATGATATAGAGAGGAAATGAGGCTCTACAAGAAATGGCCAGCCCTGGGATGCCTGGATGGCTCAGCTGGTTAAGCACTGCTGCCTGTGGCTTGGGTAGTGACCCCAGGGTCCCACCTTGGGCTCCCTGCTCAGCAGACAGCCTGCTTCTCCCCCTGTCTGCCACTTCCCTTGCATATGCTCTTTCTCTCTCACATAAATAAATAAAATCTTTAAAAAGAAAGAAAGAAATGACCATCCCATAAAGAATGAGCACTCCAAGAGAGGCATAGGCTGGGAAGGAGCTGGCCGGGCAGGAGTCCCCACACCTTCGAATCTCTGCTCATGCATGCCACGCTTCTGGGCCCCCTGCCTGCAGCCACCAGCCACCAGCTTCCCAGAAGTTTCCTTTTCTGCTTTTCTTTAGGAGGGCTGAGTCAGAATTTAGACTTCTACAGCTAAATTAAGACTTTTAAATTTAGAATTTAAAAGCCTCAACTATTAACAGGAAACAAAACGCAAATACAAAATAAAAATACTGGAAGTATTAAAAATGGTCTGATTTATGGAATGCAGTACTCATTCCGAATCCTGATTCTGACATATCCTACACAAAAATCTTTCGGGTGCAAGAAAGAGAAAACCAGTCCACGTAAGCCAAGGTGCAGGGAGGCTGATATCATAGGACTGACAGGTGTTTGGTCCTTCTCTCCCTTCTCTTCCTTGGCCTCTCCGTGTCCTTCTGTCCACTCCATTCTCCTCTAGGCTGACCAACAGGTTTGTGGTTTCTGCTCCTCCATAACTTCACCTTGCACAACCTGGGTTTCTTCTCCTGATCCAGGCCAGGGGGAGCCTCAACACTGTGGTACCAGCATGTTCCCTCCCCCAGGTCCCATCTTCCCTGCACACAAAGGAGCCCGTAACCCACAACTGCACTAACCTCTCAGCAAGCACAGATTTCCTTCCACAATCATCACCCCCCTCCCATAAGAGAAGCGGTGCTGCCTTCAGACAAGTTGAGTGACTTTCCTAAGAGCACACAGCTAAATGCATGACCGCTGGGGAGAGGGCAAATACTGAATCTTGGGTTAATCCCTAAAATGTCAAACAAAATTGACTTCAAAGTGAAGATTTTGCTCATCTGCCCAGAAAGCTTCTGATAATTGAGGTTTTCCACCAAGATAAAGACCTAGATGCTATGCTTAGACAAAAAGCCAAGGACCAGGGCACTTTGGTGGCTCAGTGGTTGAGCATCTGCCTTTGCCTCAGATCATGATCCCAGGGTTGATCCAGTCCCACATCAGGTTCCCCCCAGGGAGCCTGCTTCTCCCTCTGCCTGTGTCTCTGCCTCTCTCTGTGTCTTTCACGAATAAATAAATAAAATCTAAAACAAACAAACAAACAAACAAAAAAGCCAAGAACCAAGCCCTTGTCTGGCACATGAGTTCTAATAGAGAAGTACACAGCCAACAGGCTCGTGATCACACTTAATACCAGTAGAGACACTGAAAAGCTAAATGAAAGGACAGCCAGAGCAAGTAGCTATTAGGTGAACTCGAGTCCACAGAATGAATGAAGCCAAGACACTTGCATTTTCACTGAAGCCTGGATCCATGTGTGCTGGGTGCCCCTGGACCTTCCAGATGATTTTATTTTCGTCCTCAGTTTCAGTATAAATGGAATAGAATTGCACATGTTCTTTTGAACTCTGTAATCAACCTTAGGATACCAACAGTGGGAAAAAAGTTATAGAACAAAGCCAAATGTTGGTTTTTCTTCATTTCAACATGAAATAGACTTTTTCTTTGCTCAGAATTTTGTAACAGCTGCCCAGGGTTTTGGAAAGTGGCTCTGGGGTGGGCGGCGCATCGTTACTCTTCTTACCTACCAGCCCTGGACTGCAGAGCTTCAGTGGCACACTCAGCCGCCCCCTCCCTCCCTGCCACCCCGTCCCGGAAGGAAGGATGCCCAGAGGCTCCCATGGATTAGCTGAGCCTCCATGTGTGGGACAGAGTGGAGGGGAGAACAAGTATCAGGACTGGTATCGTAGGCAGAATAGTGGCCCCCAAACTTGTCCACCTGGAACATGTGAATATGTTGCCTCACATGGCAGAAAGGGACTTTGTAGATGTGATTAAAGTTAAGGACCCTGAGATGGGGAGATTATCCTGGATTATCAAGTGTCCTAATCACCTGAGACCTTAAAAGCAGAGAACCTTTCCCTGCTATTATCA